ATTCTATCAAATGTTTCTTTGTACATCTCATCCAACCTTATCTTAGTAAAACGCATGTATGCGCTGATCTGGATGACATTCCAGATAACCATTTGTCTGGGAAAATCTGCATAACCTTCCAATATGTCCACTTTCAACCACGGACCCACATTAGTCCTTCTATGTGAAGTTGAGAAAGATTGGGACATGTGATTTTTGATTTCAAACTAACTTCGACTCTACCTATCTCAATCCAACACGATGCATGCACCTTCCACAATCCCATTTCTTCTTGTCTCACCAAGCCTTTAAGACTGCAAGTACTCATTCTTGGCAATAGTTTACCTGACGAGACCATATTATGTCAATTATTTTTACATGTTTGCATGTCATGGGAAAGCGCAACAAATTTTATGGGTTAATCGTCTGGGTAGTACCTATGAAATCGATATACAATGTTAATTTAACACATTACTAGACTTCGTGAAAATGCCGTGATAGTACGATCCAAGTGGATGTGGGTTAGTTCAAGACAATCAATTTTTTGTTTTCCACCTATTTGACATTCGCAGACAAGCTTTCATCAAGCACTTAAGTAGTACTGTCGAGGATATCACCTTGGGATCTCATCATAAAGTGCTCATTTCAAAGTTCAATCGATTAAGTACAGCAGTGGTACACCCTCACTTTTGCAATTACAAATACTAGTCTGAAGTAAATGGTTACTTTTGTCTAATGTGCTGTCTGCTCCAACCTCTCCTCTAGCTATTCGTTTTGGGTAGGCAAATAGGTCAGTGAAGGTAGCATGGCTCTTCCAAGTACGTGGGTCACATTTAATGCAACTCTACATTGTTGCTAATGCTTTCAAGTTGAGATGCTTGTACATTTGGAAATATAGTAAAAGAAATGCCAAAATAGGAAACTCAGAAATCAAAACCTGTTTACTTCGTCCAATTGGTTGCTTGCTAGAGGGGGTGAGTTAAGCACATTTGAGGTGAATTGGTTCTAACAATCATGCCGTGCGCGCGAGAAGTAGAACCATCTTATGTGGAAATCGATAATGGGATGGCGAAATGTAGTGCAGTAATCGGACGTGCACCGACTAAAAGCATATTTTCATCTTCCCAGCCCGAATGCGAGGCAGTTAATGAAATTGGAAAGAAATAAAGAAAGAAAGAGCCATGTCAACGTGAACTTCGGAACTAAATGCTACAATTAGAAGTTAGAAAAGAGTATTGAGAATGAACGAAGGATTATATTTGCATGAATCGGTTGCTGAGATGCTAGAGAATCTTTTCTCACAACTTCAAAGACGTGAATTTTGGCCACAAGAATTGTGTACTTAGTGTCATTCGTTTGGACAATTATTTGGATGAAGCAAAGTTGATTGAATTCTTCATTTCACTACCACATCACTATCATGTCGATCGTTCACTTTTGTGAGTAAGTGAAAGTGAGTATGGGATTGGGTTCACCATCGTTCACTTCTACTCAAAGCACCAACTTAGATTTCTATCCAAATGCCAAATCATTGGCTACCAGTCACGTTTGCGTGTTGGCCTTTGAAAGAACTAGGACTTACGACGACATTCTCCTTATCACTGGAATGTCTCACTAAGTATATCTAACAACATAGTTGATGTGAGGAAGCAAAATTTATTTCAAAGTTTATGAAAGCATCAATCATCATTTGAGAGATAATCAAACAGGAAACGACACCTCCTGTAGTGTCACCATTAAGTCCCACTTGCTCATTGCTTACTGCATACCACTTTGTATGTCCAACCTAAACACCTGTATGAAATGACATCTTCTACACCCTCCCCCTCCAAAACACTCAACAATGACTTGGAGAACTTCAACCCCGAATTGACGATCTGGCCAAAATACTAATTTAGTCATGAAATGTGCTAATTCATAATCTAGTTTATATGCCTGGAAGAAGGAAAGAGCCCCTCATTTCTTTTTAAGTTAGACACAAGCAACAAAAGTGAAAGCGAGAAGATTCGGAGGAGTACACCAAGAGCTGATTGGCTATGGCAAATATTATATAAGCAGAAGGTGAGGTAACTTTTTCACGATAGAGGAGCTGCGATGGATCCCCACGTTGATCAGTTCTTTATTGAGCACATTTGGCCCAACTTGATACGTTCGGTTGGTTTGGCAAATTCAGATTTGTCACATCCGCAACACTTTGGCAGAATTCCAGAGCCCACTTCTTCTGCATGTAACCCAGTCACTCCCATCTCAAAGTCATTTTCAAGATTGGAATCAGTACTGGATAAAGATATCTCCGTTCCCACAGCGTCATCTCAAACCGCTGCTGAGAACTCCGAACTGCAAACTGTATGTCAGCTTCCAATTGCCATCTTAAACAAATTGACTTTAGGCTACACTCTCGACTCACACCAATATAGCCTCCCCGCAAAGCATACTACGTAAGTGCATTTAAATTTTTACCAATTATCATAAATCGTTGAAGTTATTGCGAAATCTACAATTTAGGCAGAGCATTAACTGATCCACGTTTCTTAAATCATCAATTGAATGTACTAAAATTAAAGAATCGTGGCAACGCAAAGAATAAGGAACTAGTGAAGCAGTGGGTGGAGAAACATTCCACCAGTGAGGCCTTAGCAAAGAAACTACCACAGGTGAGAACTCCACCGACATCCACGTCACAAGACAAAAGTTTGGAGAGCCCTTGCATATTTAACCGATATTTCCAAGGGGCTCTATGCACTTGTTCAGCCGAAAACTTGCAACAGTCTTCAACTCCCTCAGACGACCTCCTTCCTCACATGTCAAGGGACAAGATGCTAGTTATCGAACGACTTAGCATGCAATAAATTGATCGCGTTCTTTTCTCGTCCCATTCAAAGCCGTTGTCAAACTGTGCCTTCTCCAGTAACTACGGCACAATCCTCACCCTAACAGCAAGACTTGACAGTGAAACCTTCTTGCTCAACTGGTAATCTCAGATCTGAAGAGGCGAAGACACAGTGTCAACTTCCCTTACAATTTTCGCTCTCACCTCCCCCACTTCCCTCCTCCACCACCCCCGCCCAACCGCCTTCCTATCTATCACTGCACACAGTTCTACAAATTTATTTTTGCAAAGTTTGTTCTATTACCGTCTGTCTTCTCTTTGTCCATTGGCGCCCCTTGCATAGTATGCGTCCCCAAAGTAATCTTGAAGTAATTGTTGTAGTCAAACCATCATAATGCATTTATCATTTACTTATACTCTCGTCTTCTGAATTCTGGTAATCTTGTAGGGAGCAATCATTACAGGCTTTGATTTTGCTTTTACAATGCAAATAAAATTGTATTCATGCAGTGTAAGGCAAAAAAGTGCGCCATAACACTTGATATTCTATTTCCATGAATTTAATTCTACTCCACTTTTCTAATCCCTTCTCATTTGAACCGACACAAGTGATCAAGATTTCACTGTGTTCATCTCTCTCTCAATTTGTCATTCACACTGCTAACCCTTCGCTCAATTCACATCTATCTTCTGCCCCGAAGTCGTCTCTGAAATTCAAGTAAGAATCGCATTCTATATCACTTATAGAATGGTATTTTTCAATCCTCCAAATCCTCAAATCCTTCTACTTCTCAACTAGTTTCCTTCTCTTTCAATTGAAAGCGAACACATTACAGCTCTCACCACATTAACCCTAATTTGCATTTCGATTGTATTTTGAAGCCAAAATCCATCTACGGTGCTCTTCTCAGGGTCTTAGCACCAATCGAGAGAGACACATTTGGTGGTAAATCTTTTCGTTCAATGATCCCCACTTTCTCTTCTTAACACTTATTGGTAAGAAGTTTGAGTCTAAAATTCGGATTATGGGTTTATGACTGTCATTTGTTAAGGGCATTCTTGATTACCTCACATAAAAATGTTTCCTACTGTGAACAATAGAAGAAGTTGTTGTGCCAATATGGGACGAGTGATCATTTCAAATTGATTCAACTCATTTGGAATCTGTATCACTGAACTTATGAGGTTTACGTTATTCAATCGATGGGAATTTGCCAACGTTGCAAAGGGACGTTGTTCTTTATAATACAAATATTAACCACAGCAAAACCCTTTCTTTTTCACTGATTCCATTATTGATATCATCGTTATTTTGGTGAAATAAAATGTTCTCAAGTGGTAGTCTTTTGGACGAACGCAAGTGCAAAACGAGTAAAGTAGAATAGGCAACGCTTGCATGCATCTTACCCACTCTAGTAATCGGTAGTTGCTGAGAAGACGAAAAAATGTTATCAGTGAACAAACAGAGGAAAGGCATTATTACATGGGCAATAGATTTGAAATTATGGGTGATTAGATGAGAAGATTTGTATAATGTGGAGTAGTGTTAAAAAGTTTAAAATCGAAGGTAATTAAAGAAGATAATATGAATTTATGTTAAAGCCGGAGTACTTGCAAATAGAAGTATTATTCTCACTCTTCCCCACTCTCCCTCTCTCTTTCTTTCCCCCTCTAAACGATAGTCATCAATCTGTTAAGTGCGTTCTTTTGTTGTGTTTTACTTCTTTACACTTTACACTTTACGGTGTTTTGCTTGTGTATGATAAATAACGCATCGAAGATATCATGATATGAACACAATGATTTGTTCCATTGGGGACAAAGTGTGAATTTATTGTTAACATGCCATTATCTCATCAGAAAAAAACGCTTCCAAGTGGTAGTATTCATAAGAAACGTCGTTTGTTGGGACTTTCTTGCCTAGGAAATGGTAAGTTACATGTCAGCATTCTATTAAGTCAACAATCGATCTACCTCATCATTGATAATCACCCACAAACAGCCCTATTACGGAGTACTGATAAGTAGAAACGTGTGACAATGGAGTTGATAAGCAGACATCAATGAGCTCACAAACCCATAATAAAGTATAAATTGAGCAAGTAGCAAATGCACATTCTTTACATTTTATTTACAAAACAGGCATTACAAGTGAATAAGTGTATGAAAAGTGCTGTATGTGTGAAAACATTTAGAAGACACCAACTGATGATCGATGCTGTTTTGTACTAACATCAGTGGACGCATTCGAAACCGGTTCCAGGGGATTAACAGGTGTCATGGAAGATGATTGAATCCCAACTTCAGGAAGACGAGATTTTCGAGAAGTAGAAGGTGGTCGATTCCTACGTTTTGATGGTGATCG